TGTGTAGATGGCCCCCTGCAGCCAAGCCAGATGTAAGAGCTCTGAGTTTGGAGATTCCTGACCTCTCTAGCCGTCACTACTTCACACTTGGTGTTAAGGATCCCAGATATTTCAGCCACAAGGGCTCCCAAAGGGCTGGGGGTCCCTGAGACTCTGAGCTTCCTTGGGGAGAGAAGAGAGTCCGCTGGGGACGCAGAACCACAAAAGGTCATGGGACCCCATGCAGGAATTATAAACCCCATTTGCCAGGTGAGGAATCTATTTTGAGATAAGGTTAGGCTGTCAGGAGATGGAGCAAAGCCCAATCCCTGATTCCTGAGTCCGTCATGCTTGGGCTCCAGACCCAAGTGGGACTACTTTCCAGCATTATTTCCTTTTATCAATTTCATCTTAGGATGAATTCTGCTACTTCCAAAATCAGGATCTTGCCCCACTCCTAAGTCTAGCATGCAGTTAACATCATTGAACAACAACAAAATACTAATGACTACATTTATCGAGCCCCTATTATGTGACATCATTTCGAGGAGTTTACATATATTGTCTCTGATGCCATCTCACCCTGCAAGAACGTGCTGTGGTTATTCTCCTCTTCTGTGTAAGGAAACTGAAGCTCAGATCAGCAAAGGTGAGTGATTTGTCTGTCGTTACCTTTCTAGCAAAAGTTAGACTCAGACCCTGAACCTAAAGACTATATTTCTCTACAATGTACAGCTCTAAGCTGTCCTCAGGATGGGACTCAAACAGAAGCAGCCATGTGCAAAGGTTAATTCACAGCGGCCACTTCCCTGGAAGAAAGGCAAACATGAGCACCCAGTCCATCTTCCTGCTCTTCCCCAGGGACCAGCACAGACCAGGATCACAGGTGCAAAGGGAAACTCTAGAATCATCACCTGGTACTGCCTCCTCATGGAGACCAGCTGTTTGAGAAGACTCTGAACAAAGCTCTGAAATTTCTGAGAGTGGCTTTCCGCTCCCAAAGCCTCCCGCAGCCCGTGCATCCCAGCAGCTGGTCATGGGGAAGATGATCAGACAGGCTGATCTCTTCCAGTAATGTATTCAGAAAACATTAGCCAGGGGCCTAAACCATTGGCACCTTCATCATTTCAAAACATCCTCCAGTCTGGGCCAGCAAGAACAGTCAGAATTGCAGAGGTTATAGTGTTAATACTGGCACCAGAAGAGCACACTGACAGCTGTTAAATAACAGGCCGGGTGAGTCCTGGCTTCGGTGTAACCCTGAGCCAGGGCATTGGAAAGGAATAAATCTTGTGGTATTATCCCAGGTCATGTTCAGCTATAGCTGGGAACTTGAGGCTCAGAGTGGGGCTGTACTATGCCCGAGGTCACACAGTGAGAGGCAGAGCTCAGATTCAAACGCCAGTCTTCTGGCTGCTTCTGCAATTGCAGGAGACTCACCTTCCTGACCATTTGCTCAGCTCTGGGGCTAATTTGGGAATTACTGAATGAGAATTGATCCACAAAAAGACAGAGAAGCCAGAAGGCCTCAGCAGAGATAAAGCCCAGAGGGGGCTAGCTCAGCATGTCTGAAGGGATGAGGGGTAAGTGAGAAAAGGAGTTACCTCATACTCTGAGATGGAGGACTGCACTCCTCCCTGACACCAACTGTGAACATCTTAACCAGAAATGGAAATTCACTGGTATAATATCCCCACCCCTTAGCCTGGCATTCAAGGCCTCTGCAGCCTGGCCCCAACTTGCCCCTGCACCCTTATCTCTCCTGGCTTGCCCTGCAGCCAGCCTGCACTCCTATTCTCTGAGATGATTCCATGTACATTCCTGCCCCAGGTGCACAGCTGGAGATCGCCTCCCTTCTCACTGCTTGTCTGCACCCACCCCATCCAGAGCAGCTGAGCTTTAACCACAGCCCACCTCCACCCAGCCCTTCTTAAGTAGCCGTTCCTCAGGCCTTTAGAGCATTTGTCTAAAGCACTTGTCTCTCCAACCATGTCATACATCATCATAATGACATTAACAAAAATCAGCAGCCACCTTTCCTAAGGCTACGCTCCATGCCAGACTCTCCATGAGTTATTATATTTGGTCCTCACAACAATGTTCCAAGCTGAACACCATTATTTCCATTTGACAAGTGAGGAAACTGAGGCATGGAGACTTGCCAAAGCCATACAGCTAGAAACTGGAACCCAGGACTCCACAGCTAAGACCACGAATGAATAGACTGCCCCTGCCCCACCGGTGTATGTGGCTTCGCTTTATTTGTTACCGCTGAGTGTTTCTGTTGTTTCTGAATACGGTTGGAGGTCTCTGAGGGCTTGGAGCATTTCATTAACTTATTCAACAGCAGTTTCTTGGGTACCTTCTACCACATTCCTGTGATCTAGGCCTTATCTTGGGCATTAGACATACAGGGATAAAAAAGTCACAGTCTCTGCCCTCATTGTGCCTTTTCCTGTTTGGGAGACAGACCCACAAAGAGACAAACCACTGAACAACTTGGAGTGAGTTGTGTTTTAAGCTAGCAAGCCCAGGAGAAGAAGTTTTTGGCCAACTTCACCTAAAGATTGGAACTTGTGACAAGTTTGCTCCATTTTGCATCCTAAGAACCTGGTCTAGTACCCTGCATACAACAGGGGCTCTTTATTTGCATTGCTGGCAATGACTAAATGAGCACACAGTGTCAATGAAAGCCCTGGAATATCCATCTAGCTGACTTGTCAAACTGGCCATCTGGATGCTTTTAGTTTCAACAAACACATAGTGCAATGGGAAGAACTTGTAGCAGCATGACAATAAAGAATTGGGTGATTAAAGCTCCTGGCAGGCACAAGTGGTGGTTCATACCGCTTGGTGACCGTGACCCCTGAAGAGCCTAGCACTGTGCCTCACACCAAGAGGAACCAGAAAAATATTGCTGATTAATGATAGAGCCTTCCACTGTCTAGAGACAAGCAGTCTGGGGCGGTCACTGAGGACAGGCAGGATGGCGGGTCTTAAGGTCTCTCATTCATCATCTCCCAGCTTGTTAAAAAATATAGAGAATCCTTTTTCTCCCGTCCTGGGCCCAAACAGCAATGCTCAAACCTGCCCAGTAACCCTTGAGAGGCTATAGCCGCCAAAGGTGGGAAAGTTTCACCTCTGGATTAGCTTCTCCTTTTCTCACCTTTCTCTCTCTGCCCATGACCATCCCAGGGCCAGACACAAACATTGAGCTTGCAGAGTTGCAAGTTTTTCCCCCAGGGATCAGGCCCTAGATCTCAGATGCTCCTGAAGCTCAGGACTGCTGTCCAAGCTATCTGGTCTCAGAGTACCTGACAATGACAGACCCATCTCAGGAGGTGCTGGGGAGGGCATGGACACAAACCTCCATCTGTCAGCTCCAACCTTGGGTTAACTGTCTCGTAAGAAGAGCTACCTGCTTTCTTACTCAGCATCCTCTGCTGAGAGCCACCTGTGCTCTACGGTGATCCTACTCCTTTTTTTTGAGACAGAGTCTTGCTTTGTTACCATGGTCTAGGCTGGAGTGCAGTTGTGTGATCTTGGCTCACTGCAACCTCCACATCCTGGGTTCAAGTAATTCTCCTGCCTCAGCCTCCTGAGTAGCTGGGATTACAGGCGTGCACCACTACGCCCAGCTAAGTTTTTGTATTTTTAGTGGAGATGAGGTATCACCATGTTGCCCAGGCTGGTCTCGAACTCCTGAGCTCAGGCAATCTGTCCACTTTGTCCTCCCAAAGTGCTAGGATTACAGGCATGAGCCACCACGCCTGGCCCCACTCCTTTTTTGCAAATACCAAGTATTGCCCATCCCAAAGCAAGTGTCCAGAGTACACATAGAAGCAAGGGTTGAAAGTCCTAGAGCCTGTGAACAGGTCACGAGCTTTCCGTCTACCCAGCTCCAAATTCTTGCCCTTCCTCCCTCTGACCTCCCTTAAGTCCAGAGTCACAGCTACCACCAAGCAATGCAGCCCAGTGGAGAAAGAGAGGCTTTCAGACCTGGGTCCTCCTTCTCCAGTTTCTTCCTCTAGAAGGTCTATTTTCCCACACTCTTTGTAGGGTACCTCTGAGCTCATCCCAGCAAAAGTGGCAGGACTGGGCACCCCGGGAGCAAAGCCCCTCAGGAAGGAGCTAGGGCATGGGGGCCAGCACCCTGACTCCCAGGCCGCTTCTGTGGCCCGGGGTTCTATGTTATTCTTCCTGGATTGGCTGTAGGTGATCTCTAGGCTCTCATTCTCAGGCAGGTGGCCAACTGGACCACCCAGCAGGAGAAGGGCTGTTCCACTGGAGTCTTCTTCAGGCCCCTCTCCCACTCCTCCCTGCAATGCAGCTAGGACTTGAGGAGGTAGAGGTTTCACCCCAATCATCTAGGCCTCCTGACTTTAGCACCAGGCCAGATTTCACCTGGGCTGTGCTCCCTGAGAGTGGCATTCTTTCTGATACTGGCTTCTTCTTGTGTGTTTCTATCCCCAAGACCAAGGGCCTCCCCAAGTGCTTTCGGAGAACCCAAGTATTCCCACTGCTCGTGGCCCAAAGGTTCCTGCCCCCGGGTTCAGAGTGCTAGATTTAGGGTCACTGTGGGCCTGGTTGTTAAATCCCACCCACTTCTGGTGCCCCTTCAAGAGCTCTTGGAACCTCCACCTCCCTTCCAGCAGACCATCAAATGGTCAGGCTCCCCTACCCAACCTGGCACCCCAGATTCTCTCCTTTCCATCCATGCCCCTATCATGACTTTAGGGTCATGCCTCCATTTAACTCTTCCGCTGTTTTGCTTCCAGGGTGCACAATCCTGACACTTCCGCTGGAATGAACTCGAGGTACTCTGCAAAGAGCCCGGGAAAATGACCTTCCAGAGGACTCCGATTCTTTTTTTTCCGTTAGCCCTGTCCAGTTCTTTCTGCGCCCCAGATTTGCCCCTGTCTCCTGGCTTCCCTTCCGTGTGTATTCCAGCTCCTGTCCCAGCCACTGCTGCAGACAGCGGACCTCCCAAATTCATATTCCCAGCCCGACCCCGCGCTCACCGCCGCCGTTCTTGTAGCAGAGGTAGGGGAAGCGCCACACGTTGGCCAGGTCCACTGCGAAGCCGACTACGGACAACAGGAAGTCGATCTTCTTGCCCCAGGTCTCCCGGGGCTGCGCGTCGCCGTCGCGGGGCGCCAGTAGGCACTGGACCCCGTTGCGCTCCTTCACCACCAGCAGCTCCGCAGTTTTGCGCGCCCGAAGGGGCTGCTCTGGACCCGCGTCCGCCCCGCTGTTCTCGGGCTGCACCTGCGGGTTCATTCGCGCCAGAAGCATGGATGCGGCTGGCGAGAGGAACTTTAGCGGTCCTGGGGGCAAGCTAAGGCACTGCTTGGATAAAGGGAAAAGAGGTGGTTACTGGGCCGTTCTTCCCTACTTGCAGCTCCCAAGATCACCTGGGAGTGCCTTGGACACTGGGATGAGCGCGCGCTGAGCGAACGCAGGGTTCCCAGAAACGGGCGCGCGTCCGCTGGAAAAATTTGGAAACAGAGGTTGGGGCACGCCTCTTCTGACAGCCCTGTGGGTGCGGTTGAAGACCTTGCAGCACTCTTCCTCGTTCACCCACTCTCGCCTGCCCCAAATGGTTGGGATTGAACTCACCCAGGCTGAGGGCAGCGTGCCGACCCACTCCCCAGCTCGGGTCCGCGCCACTTCAACAGCCCCGGGAGCCTCCCCGGACACTTAACGTCACTGCACTACAAACTCGCTGGCCCTCTGCTGGCGCGTCTCTGCCCGGACCTCCCCGGCACACCTAGCCCGGTCCCGCGCTCAGGGCGCACTCACGTGTCCGGCGGCGAGGGGATCCCTGGTGCCTTGCGCCCTGCCGGCCCACGACCGGCGGCGCCTTGGCAGGCTCTGGGGCGCGGGCTGGGACTGGGCTCCGCCGCGTGGCGTTCGGGCGGGGCCGGGGAAGAGCTGGAGGCGCGGGGCGGCCGGCAGGGCGCAGGCTGACTGGTTCTGGCCGTGCCTGGCGGGGGCCGGGCTGGTAATGTAGCCTGCGCCCCAGGTAACGCGCCGATTGCATTAACCCAGCGCCCGGCCCGCTCCGTCTGGAGCCTGTTAGCGCTAATGGAGACTGACAGCGCGGCCGGGGATGGGCAGGGGCGGGAGCGTGGCGCGGGCTCCCAGGGATCTGGGGGACCCGGGCGCTCACTCCCTTTCTATCCTGCGCCGAGCACCGCTCGCCGCTCCCAAGGACACCAGGCTATGATCTCCCACCACGGAGAGCGAGTGATAGACTCTCCAAAACTGGGGTCTGCGTCGTGTCAGAGAGGAGGCCAAAGAAGAAGAAGAAGAAAAAAAAAGGCCTGGGGAAGCAGCGACCGGTGCTGCACCAGCTCTGTCGTCCGCAGCAGGCCACTTAAACTATCTGGTCAGAGTTTCTTTATCAACGAAATGGGAATGTGCGGTTCAGGTCCCAGTACTGCAAATAGGCGGCCAGCAGGCTGTTGGGCAATTTTGTTTGAGCGACTTAGCATATTGACAGGTCACAGCCCAGCACTTACTCCTGCATCTCTGTTATTTATGGGCAGGGTAGCAGGGCATTTGAGGTTGTGACCCGTGTTCTATGAAGCTGAGAACTACTATTTATTCATTCAATTCTTCATTCATTCACCCCTTCACACATTTGTTCTTCCACATGCCCGCTGTGTGCCAGGCACTGTTGTGGGCTCTTGGATTACGCTGACGCAACACAACTCGGAGATTCCTGACCTCATGGAGTTTACTTTCTACCAGCGGAGATAGAGGAAACGGGAAACATCATACATGCACACGTTATATGACGGGTGAGGGAATGGGGGGTCAGTGGGGCTGCAGTTTGCATACGGGGTCAGGGAATTTGAGAAGGTAACAATTAGACAAGTGAAGGACTGAGTCATTTGGACCTGATAGTCGTTTTCTTATTCATTGATTCATCTATTGATTAATGTATTAATCCACGTAGCAGATGCTCATGTGTGTGTGAACAGTGCTGGCTAGAGAGGAGATAGCCCCTGACTTCAAGGAGCTCCTAGACCAGTGTGTAGGGTCTGTCATAATCCAGTGTGGTTAGGATGGATTGTGACCACAGATGTGTGGGAGTAGGGTGGAGCTGAATCAGCCAGAGAAGCATCCTGTTGATCCAAGGAGGCTTCAGAGAGGTGGCAGTGTAAGTGGGATGGGTGGGGCTTGATCAACCCAGCCACACTGACCTTTCCATTCTGTAAACATCCTAACCTCAAGCCCACCCCAAGACCTTTACACTTGCTGTTTTCTCTGCCTGAGTTGTTCAAGTTTCAGTCCAGAGGTCCCTTCCCGACCACTCAGATCGAAAATACACCCTCACTCTCTATCCTATCACCCTATTTATTCCTTTGTTACATCACTATCGGAATTGGTCCTAGTTGTTTAATTTTATGTCCCCCCTTGGGCGGTACGTGAGTTCCATGAGCACAGAGACCTTGTCTGTCTTTTATAGCACATGTTCTGGCACCTGGAACATACTAGAGCATCAACCAGCACGTGAAGTGAATGAGTGAATGAATGAAAGAATGGTGGTGGCCGGGCGCGGTGGCTCACGCCTGTAATCCCAGCACTTTAGGAGGCCGAGGCGGGTGGATCACGAGGTCAGGAGATCGAGACCATCCTGGCTAACACAGTGAAACCCCGTCTCTACTGAAAATACAAAAAATTAGCCGGGCGAGGTGGTGGGCGCCTGTAGTCCCAGCTATTCGGGAGGCTGAGACAGGAGAATGGCGTGAACCCGGGAGGCGGAGCTTACAGTGAGCCGAGATCGCGCCACTGCACTCCAGTCACAGCGAGACTCCGTCTCAAAAAAAAAAAAAAAAAAAAAAAAAAATGGTGGTGCGTGGGGGTGTTTAGAGCATCTGTACCAGAAGGACAATCATGACAAACGTCCTCTGGGCAGGATGCAGAGGGGAGAGGAAGGGAAACCTAGAGGGGTGTGGGTTCCCCTGCCTTCTGGGGGCAGAGGACAAAAGGCAGGTGAGGGAAAAGACTGAGCAGAGGTTTGAGGACAAGAGCTCAGAACTGTAGGTTTCCACACATGAAAGGTGTTTATCTCCTTTGATCTATTGGACCATCATGACAATCCTGTAAGGAAAGCAGGAAGAGAATCATCTTTCCATGTTTCAGGTCAGGAAACTGTGGCTCTGTGGGCTTAAGGGACTTATCCAGGGTTCCACAGATTGGATGTCATAGAGTGGAAATGAGAACCCAAGTCTCCTGGCTTCCAGCCTCTGCTCCCTCCACCAAGTCATGGTGGAGACGCTCAGAATCTCTCTAGTAGTCATGGTCCCCTCCTCTCCTCTACCCCACACCCCATCCAACTGGTTTTCAAGTGCTGAGAATCCCACCTCTGAAACACCCTGCAAAGCCACAACAAAGAACCCTCATCACCCTTCACTGCAGCAGCCTCCTAGCTGGTCACTCCACATTCAGTATCTTTCCAGCTGCATCATCATCACCAACTGCCAGAGCTCTACCTAGAACTCAAGTGTGACCACCTCATTCCTCTGCCTGAAACTCCTCGGAAACACACCAACACATAAACATGATTTAATTAACTCTGGATTTGAGGTAATTTTATTTTCTTCTCTATACTTCTTTTGCCAACTTTTCCACAATGAGCATTTGATACTTAATCAAACAGAAAAAGATAACCCACAATTTTAAAAAATCCTCCAACCTTTCCAAGATAATGTCTAAACACTTGAGGAATACAGACAAGACTCTGGCTCTTTAACCACACCTCCTGCTATTCTTGTTCTCTCCTCATTTTTCCCACAAATTCTTTATCACCTCCAAAATATGCTTTATTCTCCAGTAATATGAGAGATACTAAACTGCTAGTGGTTCCCAGAATACTGTGTGTTTTTTTACACTTCTAGATTTTTTAATATGCTGCTTCCATCATCCTTTTTTTCTACCTGGAGAACTCCTATTCATCCTCCAAAACCTCCAGTCACCTTCACTATGAGGCTTTCCCTGATAACCACCTCCTACAACAGAGTCAGACTCCTCTTTTATACTGCTGTGTATATTTGCCTATACCGTTATTTGTGAGACCTCCCTACCAGGGTCAAGGACAGTGCCTGATGTATTCTGTTACTTAAATGGTGCTCCAGAAACATGTACAATACAGAACTAGAAGAGATCTCTTTCTTTGGTTGGGTTTGATGTCTTTGGTTGGTTTCATTTTGTATTGGATTCCTCAAGAAACAGAACTGGAAACAGAGATTTGAATACAAATAATTTATTTAGGAGATAATCCTGGAAACACTCGTTGGGGAGAGGAGAAGTGAGACAGCAAAGGGAAGGAAACCAATAGAAAGCAGATTAAGGAGCACTTGCTGCTGGGGAAACTGGTGCTCAGCCCTGGTGGGGGCCTCGGGGAGACTGCATAGAGCATGCCTCAGTGTTGTCTTGCTTGAGGAGAAGGAAACTGGAGTATTTATCCATGAAGGACGCCCCCAGAGTGTCAACTTCCCAGCAAGTCCAGGCTGTCTGATGAGAGAGGGATGAGCCTGTCCTGCTGCCAGAGAAAGGCTACCAGCAGAGCCCCAGGTACTGGCAGCACGAAGCCACTGGGTTGGATCTGCATTGGCAGGAACAGTGGATGATAAGGGGTGTGGGCATGGAGCTGGAAGTGTTTGCTGCAAGGGTGAAGGGAGGGATTTCCCCCTAACATGCACACCATCAGAGGGCCAATCAACGAGTCTGGGAGCTCCACCTGTGGTTTCAGAGATACTGGGGGTCAGCAGCGAGAACACTAGGCTGGGACTGGGCTGAAAGGGAAGGCGTCTCTCTCCGTCTCTGGCCCAGACTCCCTGCCATGGGGCCATGTGGCTTCTCTAGGTGCCCTTCTTCCTGCCCAGCCAGGTGGCCTGAGGGCAAGTTGTGCACGGGAGGCTGGAGCATTATCAGAGCTAATGTGATCTCTGGGGAGGCATCACTTCCACTTACCATGGCACTTGGTGACACAGGCCATGGGATAAAAGGCAACGGCTGATTCTGTGAGTCCATCTTTGACCATCTCCCCACAGACACTGGAGCCCTGACACACAGCGACTGGGCTGGGACACATTTAGAATCCAAGGGCCTGTGTCCGCTGAGGACGCTATCAGAACCTACACCTCCATGGCACCAATGGGGAGACTAAGGAAAAAAAGGAGGGGAGGTTTGCCTGCATATTTGTTTCCTCCCTCCCTCCCTTCCTCCCTCCTTTCCTTCCTTCCTGCCTTCCTTCCTTCATCTTTCTTTTTTCTTTCTTTCTTTTTTCTTTCCTTTCTTCTTTTTTTCTTTCTCCCTTCCTCCCTTTCTTTCTCTCTTCTTTCCTACTTTCCTTCCTTCCTTTCCTTCTTTCATCCCCTCACTTCTGTCCTTCCTCTTTTTTCCCTCCCTCCCTCCCTTCATTCCTTCCTTCTTTCCTTACTTCTTCCTTTTCGTTTTGTCTTTCTTTCTTGATCAGGGGACAATAGGCCTATGTCACACTGCAGCTGACCTGCCCTGAATTCATTCATCATTGGTATAAGTTGTGCTGGATTTACAAATAGCATAAGACCTACATCAGCTGAAATCCGCCTCCTTCAGGACACCTCCCACTAAAGAGTCCTGGGAATACCTGAGACTCCCGACCTGCACAGATGTGGCTCAGTGCTTAGATTTTTCTCTTAATTTCTAGCCCAGCTGACCATATTCAGGGACTGGCATTAAAGAGCATCTGTTGCCTGCTGACTTCACATTCACATCCTCTCCCTGGGCTGCTCCCCTGAACTTCATGTGCCTTTATCAAACTACAGACTGGACATCACTACCTGGGTAATCAAAGGCACCTAGAAGTCACCATGTCCAAAGTAGGATCCTTGACCTCCCCTTCCTGACCCACACCACACCTGCTTCTCCGCAGTCTCCCTACCAAGGTGATGGCATCTTCTTCCTTCTAGTTCCTTGGGCCACAAACCTTGGAGTCAGCCTTGACTCCTCTTTCTCTTGACCTTCATCCAGTCCTACTACAAATGGCTGGTTCCAAATCACGTCACACCTCCCCACCTCATGGTGACTTCCCTGATCCAAGCCTCATCACCTTTTGCCTGGATTAATGTGATAGCCTCCGAATGGTCTTCCTGACTTCTCCCCTTATTCCACGAAGTTTAAGTTCCACATAGCTTCTAGAAAGACCTTCTGGAAAAAAGTTCAGAGCCCATCACTGTCTCTCCCCAGTGGTTTTTATCTCCTTCAGAATAAAATCCAAAGTCTAATCCCAGCACTTTGGAAGTTTGAGGTGGGAGGAGTGCTTGAACCCAGGTTTGAAACCAGCCTGGGCAACATAGTGAGACCCTGTCTCTACAAAATTTTTTTT